TGGTTACCTGAGTATCAGATTGTTTCCTCATATTTGGGAAGTTTTCTGCTATTACTTCTGCCCATATTCTTTTTATATCATTTGTATTGACTCCTTCATTCTCATTGATGCCTATTAGTCTCACATTGTTCATCTTTACATCGTCATGCAGGTGATGAATTATTTTTTTCCTGCATCCTAGTTATTTTTAAATGATCTTTTCTTACCTTTTCACTAGCTGCACCCGCGTCTTCAAGATCTGAAACTCTATCTTCACTTTCGCTCAAATGTTTTTGCAGGCTTGTGATTGAGATTTTAAGTTCCTCTACATCTGTTTGACTCTGCTTCATGCAATCTATTTCTTTCCTGTATTGGTCATTCAAGGAATCCATCATTTTTTTTAATCTCCTGTATTTTTTTAATCCATGTCTTCTTTAGAAGCAGTTATTAATTCTTTTACTGCAGAGTTTTTTACAGACTGGGTTTCCTCTTTATGTTTCTGTATTTGATTCTTTAGTTCAGGTGCTATGAATTTAGAGATTTCTTTTTTCATTTCAGACAGTAATTCTGCTTTGAGTTCCTTTAAACCTTTCTGCAGTTGCTTATTTACTTCCAATGCTATTAATTCATATGTTTCAGATAAGCTAGTGTCCACTGCATTTGTTCTGGTTGGGCATTGTGTTTCTTCCATATGTTTCTGCATTTGATTCTTAAGTTCAGCTGCTATAAATCCAGTTTTCTTTTTTTGTTGTTGTTCCAGAAATTAATTCTGCTCTTAGTTCCTCTATATCTTTCTGCTGTTGTTTATTTACTTGTGACGCCATTGATTCGTTTATTTCAGCTGAGCTAGTGTCCTTTGCTCTTGTTATGGGTGGGCTTGAGGACTGAGATTGCATTTTGCTCCTTGTCTTTATCATTTCATAAAACACTGACCTCTGGCCTTTGGTGTAGAGCTTTGGTGCAATTATGTCCTTATCACTTAATGAAATTTGGGTACTGATATACCAAGTTCTAGTTCATGCAGTTGTGCCTGGCTTGGGTTTGGCTACTGTGCTCAGCTCCTTACTGTTGTTGCCCTTGGAGGTGGGCCTGCTGTACCCCTCTGGTAAGATGTTCTGCTCCTGGATTAGCTGTGTGATTTTGACCCTAGTTTCACTGCAGGGACTTTAGCTGCAGGGTTTTACCCCAAGCCTGTATGCTAGGTCTAGGCTGGGTCTGGAGGGGTATGAGGAGTAGGGGCGAGAGAGCACAGAAGCTCCCCCACACACTCACCAGTATTGTGTTTTGGTGGGTCTGCAGGACTCCCAAGAGCGGGGCGGAAGTTCTTACTCAGATGGCAGACTGTGCTGGGTCTGGCCGGGCGGGGGAGGTCCGGAGGACTCAGGGAAAGGCCTCTCTCATGTGGTGGGCCTGGGCTTGGAGCGGCGGACAGGCACAGGACAGAGCAGAAGCTCTCACCCACACTCACAGGGCCTGGGGTTGGTCGGATATCAAGCTTGTATATTTAGATAAGTAGTGTTTAAAAATACTTTTATCTGAAGGTGTACTATGTATATATAACAAAATATCTTCTACCAGTTATCTTGTAAAGCACACAATGACTTTGAACTTCTTCCTACCTCTATGAACCTCAGTGTCCTCTTGTCCTGGCTCCTTCATGCCATTGTGATAGATGTTAATAAATATTGTTCTTTTAAATATAAGCACTACTGTCTTCTCCTTTTTTTCTTTTGTTTTGTTTTGTTTTGTCTGTGTGTGTGTGTGTGTGTGTGTGTGTGTGTGTGTGGTGGTGGTGGTGGTGGTGATACTGCAGATTAAGCCCAAGCCCTTCACGCTGAGCTACATTAGCCTTTTCATTGGCTTTTCATTTTGAGGCAAGTTGTTGCTAAGTTATTTGTACACATTACAGAATTTCATATAGACATTTGATGAATCCAAAGTTCTAGAAAATAGAATAAATTCCCAGATGTGAAAATAATGAATAAAAAAAAATTACTAAAAGGTTTATTTGCTATGATACCAGCAGCTAGCCAAGACTGCATCTGCCTACAAAAATTAGTACCATAATGGTGTGTACGGCATTGTCACTTTTTCAGTCTGAAGGCTTTACCATATCCTGTCAAGGTGAAATGTTATATAAGATTGTTGAAGTTAGCTAATGATTATTGTATTAGCAGAGAACTTCAGTTTTTTTGATAATACGCCTTATCCATTCACCTCAACCATATTCTACATGGTATCCTGTTTATGATGTTTTCCCCCATTTATTCCATAGGTCAGGCATTTGGCACAGCTTAATGATAATAGCCAGCAAGGCAAGGAGCCCAGAACTTTGGGCACTAAGAAACCATCACATGCATATTACCTACTGTTTCTATACAACAGAATAATTTTTTCCCTAAATCAAAATGAAAACAATTAATGAGAAATCTTTTATAGCACTTAGTTCAAAAATACTTTAAATATACCCACTATTCAAGCTTCTTAGATTCTTGCTGAATCAGTTTGACTTTGAAATCCTTGTCAAGCATGTTTTATTTTATTTTACACATAGATTCTACCTCCACTGAAAACCTGGGTACTTTGAGGCTATGTAAGGAATTAACTGAATGCCTCAGAAGCTGTTGACAGGCTGAATGTCACATGAACCATTTTTCACACTTCTACTTTTCTCCCTTCTTAGAAGGTTCTTCCAAGAACTAGAACAATCCCAGTGCACAAGCCAGTGCTCCAAGTAAAAGAAATGTTATCCAGATTCTGTAAGAGAATCTAAAAATAAAGAAAGCATTCAGGCTGGATATGGTTTGTACACTTACTGGCCAGGTTGTTCAGGATTAAACCTGAGTCCCAGACATCTGGTTACTGGGTTTGCATAGCCACAACTGCAAGTATGAGAACAAGTCTTGGAAATGGAAACTATTAGTTTATTTACAACTTGACCACGCTGGAAGAAGAACTGCTCCACCCTCTCCAAATAAAAAAGCTCCATGTTATAGAAGAGATAAAAGCCAGGAAATATACATGGATAGATTTAGCCAAGCTTTGGTCCAGAGGGCAAGAAATATTGAATTCTCCTTAGTTTTAGGCATGGAGGATGCCAATTCACATTCTCAGTGTGAGGAAGCATAGAGAAACATTTATATTAAAAACAAAAATCCTAGCTTTTAAAGATCTATTTTAACATGTTGTTAAAATGAGTTACACTATCTTGCCATTTGGATCTTTCACAAGTTTCTCTGAGTGTATCAAATCCCAATCCATGATATCCTTCTATGCTAGTCATGGTTATTCTCCAGTACAAGTGCAGATTGGGTGTATACTCCTGAAAAGCACCTTTTCTATAATCCCATCAGTTGAAGGGAAAATCTTAATGCAAAGAAATACTGCCCAGAAGCTTTATATGGATTTAAAGTAGTGACTAAAAAATTCCTTTCACTTATTCCCTGCTGTCCTGTCCCTCCTTAAGTCCTGATGCTTGGCATATTTTGACATGTGACTTTCAGTTCTAAAGATGGGATGGATGTTCCAAGGCAAACCAAGATGATGAACATTATCTTGAACATCCTACAACATTTCTTTGTTTCTTCTCATTACACTGTCTTATTAGAACAAAAAGCCCTGTGAAAGCACCAGTAGTTACTACTTCTGCCATTATACAATAGAACTTATGATAATCTTGTGCAGAGACCATATGTACTTATAAGTATATATATTTGATACTAAAGAGCTAACCCAAGATCTTCACAATGAACTACATTCCCAACTCTTTTGATTTTTTTTGAGCAAGGATCTCACTAAATTGCTAAATTACCCAGGCTGGGCTTGAACTTGCAGTCCTCCTTCCTCAGGCTCCAAAAGTGCTGGGATTATAGGCCTGTACAACACACCTAGCCAGAGAGCCTTTTGATTCCCACTTCCTGCAGAATATATTGCTCTATTCATGCTCTTACCTACTTAGCAAATGAAATGGCTGTAAGTTAGCAGTACATCTAAAATATTTTCTTTGCATTTTAATTTATTTGTCTTTATTTTTTCCAGCCCTGACGACTTACTCAATGCCTTGAATGAGGGAATCAGTCGTGCTGATGTCATCATCACATCAGGGGGTGTGTCCATGGGAGAAAAGGTATGGGCAGCAGGGTCTGGAAGACCTGTCCACTTACTGTCCTTGCATATGGTCGATTAACTGCAGTGTGGATAGCATATAGTGTCTACAAAGCTGAAAATCCATGACCCTTCAGAAGTTACCAGTCTCTCAAAAAGGATGGTGCAAAGGAGATCAGGCCTGAGGACCTGGCTGGAGAATCCCACCAATTGCAGAACGGTTTTTTCCATTTCCCTCAGACTTCTGGTTTTGCTTTCTCTCTGTTTCACTATAGTAGGACTCTTTTATATGTGATGTTTATGCCCAAGATAAAGCTGCAGAATTCTCCCTCTACTTTAATTTAAAAATGACCTCACAGAGCCAATCATCTCACCCACAGCATATTCTAAATCTTACCAAGATCCTTTAGCTCTCCTTCCCTACTGGGAAGAAAGGGTTAGGCATTCTTTTTGCCCTTCTTGTTATTATTATATTATATTATATTATATTATAGCAATGAAGTTACATCTACTCACATGTATGAGCTTAGGACTTTGTACATGGTAGATGTACAAAGATATACTTAGCCCTCTCAACATCCTGGCAACTATCGCAGTGTCAGTGAGCTGACATATAACTGATATGTGATGATTTTGATGGTGGTTAGATCTCCTGAGTGTTAGTAAAGTAAAATATTCTTTGGCCAATTTAAGTCAAAAAATATTTCTGATCACTTAATGTTTTGCCAGCCTATAATTCCTTGCCGTTTTATATCATATTAATGGGATAAACTAGAGATTATAACAACATTATGATCATAACAGTTTTTGCTAAAATTCATATTTCTAAGTGTTGGTTTATTTAAAGTTTATGAACTTTGATTTATCGTATGTGTATGTGCTCCTATAAAAATGCCTATAAAACTGCCTAAATTTGTAGCTGATAGACAGTAAACACAACTGGCTCTGAAAACAAACATTAGAATTCAATTCCCTACACAGAAGAATGCCTACCTTCGAGGCACAGCCTTTAGAATTAGAGTCCTGGAGAACAACAGTTCAGCTACCGAAATCACAGAAGCACACCACGACACATTTCATTCTGCAGTGAAACTGCTGATGTCTGGGGTTGGTACTCTAACAGACAACTGACTGAGTTAGTCTCTCCTCAGTCTCCCAGAAGCCTTGAGCTCGAGGTAGAGCAAACTGCTACAGACCTCTCCTGAGACCGCAGAAGCTGGAGGCGAAGGTGTGCACGTGGCAGAACTGTAGGAAATCATTTGCGACATGGCTGTCTGCATTACTGTCAATTCATGCTCAGTAACACAAAAGCATACTCCAAAGTCAGGACTGTTTAAGTGTTAAACTTGCTTTTCCAAGACTGTTCTGTATACAATTTACCTTTGTTCCTAAGAATCATAGTCGTGGGGTAATATTTGCTTAGAAGACCTAATGTTTGTCTTTTCTAGTACTTCTAGAGAGACAGCAAGCCTATAGCACACACAGGCTTGGCAGTTATGGTGCACAGGTGGTGAGGACAAACACTTCTGAACCCGACCTCCAGTATTAGTGATAACAAGGATGTTGGTTATCCTCAAATTTGCTTATAAGTAAACAAAGCCAAAACAATTGAGGATATTTATTGATTTTATTGGCTATGTGATAAGATGCTTATATGTACCTTTAATTTACTAGGAAAGAGATTTTAGGAACTGGACATCTCAAAATATTAGGGATAGGAGCTAATAACTGCCCTTTTCATGTCCTGGAGTAGGAATGAGATAGAGGAACACAGGAAAGAGGCAAAACATATATGTAGCAAATTCCTGCAAGCCAATCAGTTATAGTCCCAGAAAGAATTTCACTGTACTTTACTAACAGAAAGAAAGAAAAGCATGAAAAACAGAACATCTGCTTCAACCCAGAAGCTTGGCCTAAAAGTCATTCTCTGAAAAGACAAGCAGATTGAGAAAAGACCCATAAACATAATGATGCATATACATACACCTTGTAGCTCAGGTAAGCCTTGAACTCACTCTGTAACGGTACAGGCTGGCCTCCAACTCATAGCAGTCCTCCTGCCTTAGCCTCCCGAGTGCTGGCATGTGCCACTATGCCCGGCTTGCACACGTGACTCTTAAGTGTCAAAACTCAGGTTTGCAAAACATTTGCTTCCATGTAAATCATACTATGAGCATCTGTGGTACTAAATGGTCAGGAAATTTTATTTGAGCTACAATTAAGAGTCATTTCCTCTAAGTTTTGTGACAAGAAACCTGGAGGTGCTTAAGCCACACAGCAGGGTCAAGAAAGTGCACCTGGCCATTAGTCTCATTGGCTATATCTAGAGCTTTTTGGTTACACCACAACATCTTAGGTCTTTGATCCTTTGGGCCATGCTAGCAGCCCTGGAATCATTATAGACTCACTAGAAACACTCCTTGAAGCAGCCAGCTTTCTTCTGTATTTTTCACTGCCATCTCTTCTAGTGTGACCACCTCTGCAGCATATACCTGCTGAGCGGAGTGGAAGGAGGGGCTCTTCTGCTTGCAGGAACCACAGCCTTCCATCCTCTTCCTGCCAAAGAGCAATGCTTCATCCATGATTTCTTCTCTAAAGATATCTCCCCACCACCACCTTTTCCTGCCCTATGTATCTTTTTCAAGGAGATTTATTATTATTACTATAAAAAGGAAAGAAACAAAAATAAATAATAAGAACAAAGACAAAAACAAAAGCAAAGCACCATACGTCAATAAAAATGTTACAGAATTTCAAAACAAGAACAGGAAATTAACAATGGTTGTTATATTACATATTGTTATCACATTTGCTGCTCAGAATCGAAAAGGTTTTTAAACCCTTTCAGAATACTGAAAGTTTCAGTTAAATAGTAGTTGCTTTTTGCACTGAAAATTAAAAAATCACATGCATTGCTATAAATTTTCCACAACTACAAAATTATGAATTTGTTTAAAACAGTAAAGGTATCATTTACCCACATGGAAGTACTAAGCCCATTTCTGGGTCTTTTAATTTTTCCCAATAGTCTCTTCACTTCCCACATGATAAAAATAATATCATTCACCACAATAAAGTAAATCCCCTTGAATATGTTTTGCAAACACTGAGCCATGCTGCCATAATATATTTGAGACTACCAGTATCACAGGTAAATAAATACAGTGACATTTTTCTTACCATTTCATTCAGCCCACCTCATTCTTGTTCTGCTAGATCTCAGATTAATAGTCTACTTTCACAAAACTGGTCCTTTCCAAACTAAAAGTTCCTGGAATTCCTGATTCAGTCCGTTGATACCATATAAAAGTTATACAAAGTATATCACCACACAGGCCTGTATGCAAGAGGCTATTCTTTGAAATGTCAGTAGGTTAAAATACCTAATATAACCCTTTTCCTTAGTGCTTTGAATCTCTTTGTCTCAGATGCAAATTATTAATTGTGCTTATAACTTAGCCATAAGATATACATCAGAATAAGGCATAAGCATTCTATAGATTAACAAATTCTTGATGGTTGTTTTAATTGATGACTGTAACCAATAATATCGGAATATCAGGTAGGTAAAATTTTCTATCAGAATACAGTATGAAATTACTTCATACAAGTTGTGCAACTGTGTTTCATACAAGGATTATATTTCATACAAGTTGTGTGATTATGTTTTTTTGTTTTTGCAATGCTGGGGACCAAACCAGGACCTCATGCATACTAGACAAGCATTCTAACCCAGAGCTACATCTTACCCAACTTCATAAGCTTTGATCAGTGTTTTCTCTAAGTGTAAAATATCAAGGGCATTGTCAATTCTCTAGGCACTTCCTATCAAAAACAAATAATATGAGATACTCATATTAGTACACATTTACCTACATGAATCTGACCTAAACTAAACTGAGCATCTCAGATTGACAGCGACTCTTAAAAGTATAGAATATCATATAAATCTAAGTATTTCTAGCATCCCTTTTTATAAGAAGAGGGAAGAAATCTGTGACTTCCTAAAGTCTTTCTAGAAAATTTCAGAGATAATTTTACACATAAAAGTGTTCTGGGGGCTGGGGAGATAGCTCAGTAGAATAAGCGCTTGCCTGGCAAATGTAAGGGCCTGAGTTCAATCCCCAGTTCCGCCAAAAAAAGTATTCTGGCTGGGAATGGTGGTGCACACCTGTAATCTCAGCACTCAGGAGGCTGAGGCAGAAAGATTGCCTGGGCTACACAGTGAGTTCAAAGCCAGCCTACACTATAAAGCAAAGCCTTGTCTCAAAAAAAGATATTCTGAAAAATGTTTTCTAAATTTAGAAGGCAAAATCAAGAGTTGATCAGAAAAGAACTGAACACTTGCTTAATGTAAGTTCATGTGTATCATAGAAACAGTACTAGGTTACCTAATTTCTCTAGCACCAATAAAATATTTGAAAATACTACAAAGTAGTATGTTTGTTCACATTTTTGTAACATATTTGATTAAATCATTAGGGGATAATTGTTCTTTGCTTTTTTGTTTCTTTAAATAATCAAAGACAAAATAAACACAAAGCACAAAAAGGCAAACTACACAAAAGCAAGAACCTTTCATATTGTAGGGAATGCATTCATACCAAAGACACAAGCTCATTAAAACTGAGTGAATGCACTAATTGGGGTGGCAGAGTAAGGGGACCCTGGGGATAGAATCCAGGGCCTTCACACTAAGTCACATTCTCAGGCCTTTTTTCATTTTGTTATTTTGAGGTAGGGTCTGGCTAAATCACTATATTATGTAGGCTAGGCTAAAACTTGTGATTCTACCGCCCCTACCTCCCAGCCTCCCAGAGTATAAAATTTTAATATATGTGTCAGCTTTTTTTCAGACACAGGAATTACAGATCATGACAAATAAAAATCACTCCAAAGTTCTGGCCTTGATTTTGTTCTTTTATATTCTAATTCTGAACTGACACTGTAGGAAAAGATTCACCTCTGGACTTGGAAAATTCCTTGAGACCTTTTATTAAATGTGCCTGCAAGGAAAAACTA